TGAGTCCAAATGGAGGACATAATTTGCCTAATTGTCCTGATTTGGGAGTGTCTGTTCTTGCAGGAATCTGTAGTTATGGAAATCTGATACTTTGATGTTTTTGTAGCTTCTTTAATGTCAGCTGAAGAAGTGTCAGGGACCTTAACTGACACTTAATTGTTTTGTTTCTCTCTTTGAAAGTTGTACAAAATAACCAAACAAGAGAAAGATAGCGTCTACTGTTCCTGAGAGCTTTTGTTTGCTTCAGTAACAGGTAAAACATGTTATGAGATTTGACAGTTTTAATGCAATTTAACTATTTACCCTTTGCTTTAGTAAAAGGATGTTTCTGAAAACAGGATCTACCACACAATATTTGTGCCAAAATAGTTTCCCTGTTATATACTTAAAACTGAAAAGGTTTTAATGATCTTAAATCTGTGTACAATCTATATGAAGTTTTTATTCTTTAATAATGAAGCATCTTGTAAAATCTTCATTGATGCTCAAAAAGTGTTCTGCTACAGTTCACAACTTTCTGTGACATTCTTATTAACTTTTTGTTCCTTAAAATTCTTCGTCTTTAATTATAAAATGTAATTTTTGCTATCAAATGGGGCCATGGTGTGCTCTAGTCTATAGAAAAGCAGAAGCCTTGAAGTTCTAGCAGAACTGTACTGGCTTACAGCTTCCCTGGTGCATTTCTGCAAAAAGTGAAGTACACCACACGTGCCAGGGCTCTCATGCAAAGAGGCACAGGATCTGTGGGATCTTTTATATGTTCAACTTCACAGAGCACACAAAGCAATTCCAAGATAGATCTTCCCAATTACAAACCAGAAAAGTCAATCTTCTGTTTCCATGTGCTGGGTCTTCTCCATCTCAACATATGTAATTGGAATCATATAAGGGAGTTTATTCTTGATTTGCATTTATTGCCCCTGGAATTAATTTACTGTTAACCCTTTATTGTTGTATAAATTGTTTACCTGAACGTTTAAGAAATTGAGCACTATTGTAATAAAATGCCTCTCTGTTTACTTCCCCAGAAGTAGCCTGGTTTTTACCCGGATAAAACTTGTCTTGTATGTAATTTTTCTTAAAGCCAGAAGGTGCAAAAGTTCTGCAATTGTTAAACAACTCAATGAAAAATGGTAAAGCTCACATTACAGAGATGGAACAAAAAATCACTTTGTGCTAGCCAAGAGTACCCAGAGGCTTTTCTGTGCGCTGAGTTTTGTTATCTGATGCTTGTATTACAGGTGACTTCCCCACGTTGTGACTGATATGTGCTCCAAGAGGGTATTCTTGGGTTTCAGGTGCCCAGGTAATGATCAGAGTTTGAATAGACAGTAAACCAAACTGAAGGATAATAATACATGAGTGCTGGCAAGCTGCCTAGATTGGCATTGGTAAACATCATTCTGCAAGAGCTGTGGAGCATGAAATGGGAACTGTGCTGTATTTAAACAATCAAGAGGATTAACCTGAGTTCCTTGACCGCTGACAGGTACCTTGCACATAGGCATAAGCAAATCCTTCATAAAAAAGCTAGGAAGAAACCAGGAAGATGATTCTCATCAGATTTATGCAGAGTAGGCAAAGGGCAGGGGATTCTGCAGTCTTTTTTGAGCTGTAAAGGGACAGATACTGAAGAGCTTTAATGAGCATGGCATTTTGGTGATTTCACACCAGGCCTATGAGACATAGCTTGCACAAATTGTTAAGATTGCTCCCCGTGCAAATCGAAGGGATACAGCTTTTATGTATTTCCATCAAATACATGCATTTTCCATTGGGAGAACATGTGAAGCACAACCGCAACAGTTATTTAGCTATGGAAAGTAAATCAGCAAAGTGTTTAACAAGAAATTGATAGACAGTTGTAGAGTGCTGCCTGGGTCTTCTCCCACATTGTTTATCAATGTTGCCAATGATCTAATTCTTGCTTTCAGTATTTCAGACTTTATTTCAAAGTCAGGAGGGAATGATATCTAGTATTCATGTTGTTAGCATGTGTGTACTCTGGCACTATTGATCTGCAACCATCACTTTAAATGGATTTGTATTTGAACATGATTTTAGTGTTGGGGTTTTTTTTACCTTCAGTATCAAGCTTGCTTTTGTTTAATGCTTTGTTTTAAATATTGTTCTGAAAGGGCCTTCCCTGAATGAGACATGGGATTTGAGGCTGTGAGACAGTTGCAGACAATGATAGCAAGATAATAATAATAAAAATAATGAATACATTTTGATTACACTTGGTGTTTTACTCCTTAGCAGTTTGGTGCTCTGCAGGAACAAATGGTAAAACTGGCAGCAGCATGGTTTTACAGCAGAGACTTTAGGCAGCAAACTCTTCCAAGAGTTATTACTGAATGCTGATGGTCTTTTCCCATACAAAAAGAAAGCTTGTAATGGTTTCTGCACCTGCAAGGAGTATCCTAGCAACATCACTGAGGAAACTGTATGCCAGGACCTTTTTTCTGAGTGCTTTTTGTTGAAAGTAGCAGCCTGTAAAACAAAGGTCAAGAGCAATTTAAGCTCTTCAAGATGCTGTTGCCTAATTAATTTATTTGCAGAAATGTTTGTGTTGTAGTTTTCTGCCTAAAGGATAAATATCGGGTTACAGAGTCATCCAACAGACTATCCAATCACAGTTTAGTGAAATGCAAATATTGGTTAACCTAAATGTCACTGCTCCTTGGGGGAAAAGCACTGTTGGCATTTAACACTAGTTTTTGCCTTGTGAAGTAACCAGGAGTTCCTGCTGCCTTCTGCCTGCTCTAGCTGCTGAGGATACCCAGGGGCTTCTGTGCAACGCAGAACAGGGGAGCACAGACCACCACCAGGTAGTGGGAACAGACCATCGGTCTAATTAAAAAAAAAAGCTTTTTTTTTTTTTTTTTTGTCTGTGGAGGTGTATGTGGTCATTGTCTTACAGTATGCACAGACCTCAGGTGAGTTCCTGCTTCGTGCTTTGTCATCAGATTCAGGGAAAATACTTATTTCAGGTTTTCCTGTGACGTTCACTGGTACCTTGTCAGAAGTACTTGCTGGGCTTGCTGTTGCTGGGCTTGCCATCTTGCGAAGAGGAGAGGGCAGTGTTTATCTTTGTGTTCTATGGATGTGGGAGTTGAGGCAAAGGACTAAGACCCCTTTAAGCCCCCTAGGGTGGGGCTGCAGAGTTACCGGGGGAGCTGGGCCATGCTTTCAGCCCCTCTGAGCTTCTGTGACGTTACTGTCTCTCTCTAGGAGAGATGGTGATACAGCCTAAAAAATGCATGCCATTGTAATAAGTGTTTTTGTCCTCGTCCCAGTCTAGTAGATAATCTCTAGTTCTAAAGCCTGGTCTAAAAATGAAATTTTTACCATTTCTACTCAAATTTATCTGCTAGACAAGGGACAAAGCCTGTTGCTGGTCATTTTCCCTGCATTCTGACTTAGTGAGAAGACCTTGTACTTAGATTATTGGATGTCGGCCTTCTTAATTAGCTACTTGGAGAAATACAGGTCCTCCATGGTTTCATATGTAAACAATCTAAAAAGTCAGCAGTCATCAGACACAATTCTCTCTGATGCAGCTCCCTACTTATTAATCTAATTGACAGTTTAAGCTGAAATTTAATACTAAACAAACTAATGTGCTTAAGGTAACCCTCTGTTTCCTTCATTACAAAGGCACTTGAAAAGTGCTAGAGCCATTTCCCTACTCTGAGAAATATTTCTGAGTAATTTGCCAAAGAAAGTTAGTTGAGGATAAGGTGCTTGTTCTGAGGCAACAAGGAAATTTTCAGTGAAAATCTGAGACAGCTAATAGAAAAAATTAAACACTGTTCCATTCAAACAATTTTTTAAAATTTTTTTTTCCTCCTTCTGGACTTCAGGTGATGTCACCCCTGTTCTCATGAATCCTTTCTTGCAGTCACACTCCATTCCTCTGGCAGAAGAAATATGCCGTACTATATCAGACATGAATGCAGATCATGTGATGGTCACTCAGGAAACTTTAATAGAACAGCTAATGAAAAATCATCCAGGTAATGTTCTTGTTTCTCCCTCCTTTTAAAAATGACTATACCATAGAGCTTGAGTTTCTGATATTGGGCAAATGATCGCTGAATGTTTAGAAGCAAAGCTGGCACCATTCAAGAATATAAATTGAGGCAATTGGTAGAGTACATGAATGGGCATAGTTCTCATCAATCTGTGGGTCACTAACATTGTCTTGGATGTAATTCTTTTTACAGATGTTACTAAATCTTCTCTGAGAGTAAGAGGGAACTGAGTGCAGTAGCATGTTGAGAGTATGCCCTTTCTATGGGATGGGAAAGCATAGATAAAGTATTTAGGTGCCAGATATGGAACACCATAAAATAGACTGTGTGTCAGACCATACAGACTTTGAGTCCTCCTTTAAGAGGCAGGGACATAGCTGACTTTGACGGCAAAGGGACTGGGTAGGAATCTACATCCAGTGTTTGCTATCAAAAAACACAAGCAGCCTCAAAATTCAGGTTCATTGGTCAAATTCCAGCCCCTTCCTTCCTGAAAACAAATTACTTACAGTAAATGAGCTTTAATCCCTCTCCTCTGATGGGGTAGCAGCTACTTCCCTTAAATGCTGTGTTTTCTTTTCAGTCTGAAAAATATTCAGTTTCTCAGATCTGCAATATCGAAGTGTGTGTGTGTGCATGTGAGACTCTGTAAAGGCTCATTACGGCCCTCTGCAGGAAGTTGCTTTGATACTGAGCTTCCCCTTTTGAATCTTCTTAATCTTACAGCTCTGAAAACGTTACAGGTTGATCTGGCAGGCATTTTCACTAGTGTGAAAAATTTTAATGCAACCCCAGAAACTGGCCCAGAACTCTGCCAGCAGTGTGATGTAGTCTTATATGTGCACTGAAGACAACCACAAGATAGCGTTTTCAGGTCAGCCAGAAGTAGCACTGCTAAAGTTTGTAGGGGGAGAGGGTATTTCTTGCTACATTTTCACCTTGCTGGAAGTTTTCATTCCTGTGGGCAGGAGATCTGCAGAAGACTAAGGCAGTAGATCAGATGTCACTAGACTAATGACTCTGGGGCTGTGACACTTAAGGTAAAACCAGTAGCTGAGACCAGTCTCAGTGAGGTAAACTTCAGTAGCAATTGTCATCTGACGAAATTATACCAGAGGCTTCAGAGAGTGATGATAAAAGCCACTGTTAAATAACCTGCCAAGAAGGAAATGCTTTGAACAACACATTATTTGGTTCGTACCTGGCAGAAGGTCTCTCTCATGAATATCATATCCTGACAGACACAGAGAACATCCTTGCTTATTCGAAGACCATCATAAGCTCCATCACAGCACTGTTGCAGGGACAACCAGAAACGTACCTGGCCTTTACCTTCTTCCTCAGGGGTGACCTTGCCTTATCAGTGAGGAATGGCATTGGCAGAGCTAAAAAGGGTTTTACTGATCTGTAAGGCACTGGCAGGATGATGTTTCTGTGCTGCCCTCACCTGGCTGGCCCAGAAGGGCTCTCCCTGACTCAGGGCTCCAGCCTCTGCTGGCCTCGAGGTTTGCAGCAGCCGTCGCTGCCCTCTCCACGTGTCGACACTGCTGCAGAGTGGGGCTGTGCCTGCTCTGCCGGGAACCCAGGGCTGTGGGTGGGGAAATCTGGGTGCAACAATTGCTGGATCTGGAAGCTCGGCAGAGTGGTGACGTGTTAAAAAAAATCCTGCCTTTTGTCCGGTGATACTGGACACTTTCCTGTTGAAATTGACTATGCCCTACTCGAACTTCAGTCACCAGGTCAGTTTCAAACTTCTTTTGGAATCCTCTGAACTAAATACAATGGGTATTTCATGTTCAGTGGCTTCCAAATATGTTGTATGTAAGTTATTTTTTGGCCAGCTCCCATTTTATTTGAAAACTTACTTCTGATTTGAAATACCTGTATCTTTGTTGTAGGCATTGCAGTTCCCTCCCACAATATCTTATATAATATCCTGGGCACTCTAATTAAAGAAAGGAAAGTCTATCATACGGGAGAAGGATACTTCGTCGTGACTCCAAACACATACTTTATCACAAATAATGCCACAGAAGACAATAGATGGGTCCTGCTGCAGGACAGTTGTGGCTGTTCATCGCATTCCATCACTTACCTGGTAAACATTGAGGGCTGTGCAGACCTAGTGAAAGAAAACATTTCTACGGTATCCTGTTACAGATCCTGCCATTGTTTCCCTTACCAGAATATGCTCTGTGAACAAAGACATCGGCAGCTACTGAACCATGAACCTAATGGAGGAGGTAAGAAAGACTGCAGTGAATTGAAACCTTCAATTCAAACTCAAGGGATCTCCACATCCACTGAAAACCATTCCTGGGATACCATCAAATCCCTGACATTTGTGAAAGAGAAACTGAAAAGCAAAAAGTTTGGCCTTGGCTTTTTCTGGAGAAGTGCTTCTAAAAAAAAGAAAAACATAAGAAGCAGTACTCCGCTTTTTCAGTGCAGTTTCCTCCCAAGGAATGGCCAGTCAGGGATGAAGATGACTTAAATAATATTCCACGTGATATTGAACATGAAATCATCAAGCGTATTAACCCTACTCTTACAGTTGATAATTTGATTAAACACACAATACTAATGCAGAAGTTTGAGAAGCAGAAAAAAATATATCAGTAAGGGTACCTCGGCCGAAGTATCAATAGTCAGGCAAAACAGTCTTTCACAGGATTGTACTCAAAAGACACAAAGTAAAACAGCAAAACACAGCGGGAAAAACAAATCAAAGAAACAGAAGCAGATTAGAAGAAGCAACAGGAAATCTCACATACATGAGCTAACACCCCAAAATGAGAAACTTGAAGAGAACCTTTCACTGCCTATCAGAAACCAACAGCCATGTGATGTAGCACTGGAATCTCATGTCATATATAAAAAAAAATTAAGAATCCTTTTCAGGGTCTGTCATGGAGATGCAACTTTTATGCGAAAGGATACAAAGGTACTATTAACAGTCAGCTGAAGTTCGGGACTCAAAAGCAAGAAAGGGCTTTACAAAGGCCACGGTCCTCAGATTCCTCAAAAACCTTTGACTATGAAACTGAACAGAGGGCTACTGAAACACTGGCTGACAAAGCTAAGCAAAACAAACTACTCCACACTAGTAGGTCTTCCCTCCAACTAAAGAAAGACAGTTTAACTGAAAACTATAGTTACCTGCAAGGCAGTACTTTGCAAATAGATAGTAAATACTTTCTGGAGAGTAATATTTCTGATGAAAACATCCCCAGAAGAACAGTCAAAAAAACCCCTGAGAATATTAAAAAATCCCCTCACTCCTACACTGAAGATAATGGCATGTGCAAAGAAGATGGAAAATTTTTGTTACATGTGCAAGATGAGTATTGCAGGTGCAAAGCTGACACTGTATGTGAGTTACTAGATCAAACAGCAAATGAATTTCAAAATGTCTGTCTTTCAAATTATACAGCCACTGTTAACCCGGTAAAAAAAAAAATTATGTCAAATACAGACCAAAAAAAGGATAAAAAGAATGAACTTCTATTTAAATACGACTGTGCCAGCCAACTCAAATCAATTAAGCTGGGAAGTGAAGGGTTTACTGGTAACAGCCATCTTCTGTATCAAAAAACACGTGATGGTGACACTTGTAACTTGTTACATCTGGATGACGGTTTTGAAGGCAATGAACCATGTCACCTGCCTCCTGGCCATGCTTTTTCAGAAACAAGAGACTGGAGTAAAGCTGTGCAAAAGCTGGGGACAGTTGTGTCCCTGAAAAACTGTAAGGTTATGTCTTGGTTTGAAAGACAGGTGTCT